TCAGTTTCTTTCCAATAATTATCACAAAAACAAATCATTAAATTTCATTTTTCTAGTTAACATATCGAAGAAGCTTTCAATAAAACACCTAACAACCAGATCTTATGAATGGAACCTTGTCAGGACAGAACTTAGATTAATCGTAACTGATGCGACAATTACATCAAAGAGTCCACATCAAAAGAGTACAAAGGAAATTGCCTAACAAAAAAGCGTGTATTAGTTAAAGGGGCATGGTGCGATATAAGGGATGATTTTTGTGCCAAATTACAAAAATTATCACCACCGGTTAAGGAATGATTTTATTGACAGGAGTATGTCAACTGCGAATATGATGATTAAGTATTCTTTTCACACGCTGCATGCGCCAACCTTCAAGTCTATACCGATTCCAAAATTTAATTATCTCTCATATCCACAATTTTTAAAGCCTGAGTTTTATCGTAAATAAAATTAATAGAATCCGTTGTAACCTACTGGTAATACATGATGTAAATTGCAGGAGATGGGGTGTGCTATTCATCGTAGCCCGTTCGTAATTTAGCCATGACAACGGCACATATTCTGTGTGAAAATCCAGATTGGTCGCGTGCCAATGATTTCTTACTACAAGGACGTAACTAGCTCAGAGAAACGATGGGGTGGGGAGTGTTCTCAAGGGGTGCTGTAAAATTGACGGACAATGTATATCTATTGTTTTTATGGACGACAATGTTTTCAAAGGGGAGGGGGCACATTTTTGCGGGGGGGGGGGGCTTTGCCCCACCTGCCCCTTAGTTACGGGCCTGACTTACTGACAATACAGAATATAAGTATTGTCTACAAGACTACGGCATGGTATCAATTTGTTGTTAAAGGGGCTTCTATTTTAGTCAATTATCGATTCCTATTGATAGCAAGTGTGAATTCACGTAATTTGGAAACTTGACTGACAGTTTGCATTGACTCAGACTTTTTGGTGGCGAAATGAAAAGGTCATCAAGGTATTATCCGACTGATAACGTGTTAATGTGCATGTGTTCAGCAAGGTTGACAGTGACTTCTGACGATGTGTGCTTAAAAACAGGAGATGAAGGCATTTAATTCATTTGTGATTTAAACCCGAAGATATATTACTTCAGATGTGATTTATCAATTTAAAATGCATTGTGTAACTTATTTGTCAGAATGGAAATGGCTATTTCAATGGACAAAACTTTCGCCCACGGTAAGACCAGCATCTATGTGTGTAAATTTTGAAATTTCGTAATTTTAATGAGTTTGAAATAGTCGATCGATGCAAGTATTAAAATGTCAAACATATTGATGAAGTAATGTATCGGTACAACGATAATTCTGTTTATTTTATTATATAAATGCCTGCCAATGTTTGATATTTGTTATATTTTCAATATAAGCCAGTAAAATCTGCGTGTCTGTGTTAAATTAACAATCTTTTTTTGCATGCCGTATTAGCTGATATTCGACTACGATATCACTGCCGTGGAATCGCACGATAAATACATAAACCTATTTCAAACCAGCTATGGATGAGCTGACTGTACATACGTGAAAGTCAGACTTTTTAAAATTCGCCGTGGATGGCGGTTTAAAATAATCACGGAGGTCGGCAGTTTACTCAAATTCGCGAAGGAAATTTAGAGCAGAATTTTGAGCTTGGCCAGAGCAGATTGATTAACTGACGTCGTCGATTTTTACATTTATATTTTATTATGCAACTTTATAAGTGGCGTGACTATAAAACACGTACTGCGTCTTATGTTCATCAACAAATACAAAAGACGCATAGAAGAAACAGCCCCGTACAACTTCCACATATAAAGACCTGTCCTTATACAAAGTCCTATTTGCGAAAAACACACCGGCGAATGAAAAATCGCACGGTAAAAACAATTTTCCTTCCCAAGTTTCCATTTAACACTCACGCGTCAGATAAAGTCGGTTGGTCCTTGATTATACCCTTTTGGTGCAGTTATAACAGCTATCGAGAAAACACACCAATTAAACAATACACACCGTGTCATTCGTTTTTAACCCGTCGGTTAATTAACATACTCAGTACAGAAAACGCACCGTCCCAGGGTTGTTCACACCTAGCGATAATTAACTCGCCTTTCAGTCCATTTTTCACCCTGGTTAATTAACACACCTTCTCTAAAGATTTTAAGCCATAATGAGGAGTTAAAATCCAAATTTTATTTTTTTTATCGAGATACGTAGGTATTGACCGTTTTGCGAGTTTTTAATGCGGCAAACGTACGTTTTAACAGTTACCTATTTCTCAGTGCATGTATATGTAAAATAGAGCCTTTGAATACCGATTTAAATTAAGATACCTGGTTAAGTGGAAAAGTTAAGTATTTTCATACACCCCCATTGAAATGTGGTCGTATATTGTTGTCGTCTCCGTCTGTCGGTTTGGCAATTGTGGACACATTACGAAATGAAATGAAATGAAATGGGGTTTAACGTCCTACTGTTCTGCTCCTATACTGGGCTAATGAAGACGGGCATACGCCATACAGTGTGCTATGAGGGAAATTTTGCCCGGACAGCGGCACTACGGCCTACTCTTATATCGAATTCCAACTGTCAAGGGATCTTTAACGTGCACGCCAATGTGTACACGGGACCTCGGTTTTTCGTCTCATCCGAATGACTAGACAGCTGTCCTTGTCAGGCCCTCCGTCCTGCATCACTGACAAGGGGAAACCACTCCGGAAAATCTGGATGAACTTTCTCGGCCAATGCAGGGATCGAACACCCGACCTCCAGGCTAGCGGGCCAGCGCCTTACCAACTTAGCCACTGTGATCCCCTGTGGACACATTACGGGCTGAAGTTAATATCCGATTGACTTTAAATTGATACACAGTGTTTAAGATCATGAGACGAAGAAGCCTATTAATTTTCAGAGTTATGGCCCTTGATCACTCTAAAAAATCTTGTGGACACTCTGGAGGCTAAAGTTAATATCTGATTGACTTTAAATTTATACACAGTGTTTAAGGTCATGAGAAAAAGACACGTAATTTTGCAGGAATATTACTGGCAGGGATTTGAGGCCAGTACGGTTTGGTACGTTTTCATTCTATCGTATTATAGGAATATGTGCACATATATTTCTTTTGTTGTATTCAGAACACATATATGCTATATAATAACATAAACATACTTGTAGTTGAAGTCTATTAGAGGGAATGGAAGCTTATTGACACTACTTCCTGAAGCTGACAAACAACTTCTTAAATTATAGCATCCCTGATGTACATGTGCTATGACTGTGTACACCAGGGAGGATAATTTTGTGCATACTTTAGCATTCCTGTGTACAAGCAGGCTAATATTAAAGCTTGTACTTTGTCTATCTAGGGACTAGTGAAAATCAATGCCAGGCTAGTGACTGGACAGTAGACTACTAGCCCTGGGATTCAAATTTTTATTTATATCCCAGGATGTGGACCCTGTATGATTTGGTTTCTAACACTTGGCATACTTGCCTGTAGGTTGACTACCTTAATTTGTAGACCTTTTATTATATAAACTCATGACCCAACTTGTATACTGTCAGGCTATATTAGTTGAATGCCTCGATCAAAAGATTTTGATCGGCAGATAATTGTCATGTGATAAACATTCATGAAGATGTATCGTTTTGTATTACACTGTATTACACATAATTTTCACCTATTTATTCTTAGAAAAGCACTCCATATCTTTACCATCCGCTAAGAAAATGACTCCTTTTATTTAGTAGTACATAATACCTCTCTGCTTGCTTATCAGCCAGGCCTTTTTCCTGCGCAAAAAAGTGTATTACAGGCTCATAATCAGGGGTCTTTAGGATGGAGAGCAAATCTCGAGTAGCATCCACTTTTTGTATCTGCTGGACTATATATTTCATATATACTCTTCAAAAAAAGTAGGGGATATTCAGAAACAATACAAAACTGCAAAAAATGCACTGGTGTTTTTATTAGAGGTAACCAGTGTATGTTAATAACCGGCCAATTGCCTACACATGAACATAAGCAGTTCATATGGGCGGCTTATCTGACGGCCTCATTTCATTCGCATGATTATGATGATTAATTGCTCCACCAATCCTCAGACATTCAGCAATACATCGTGGCTTGCTCCTAATCAACCATCCAATCATGATTTGGGGCAATCTGACCCACTACTCTTGCAGTGCCACGGCCAATTCTTGAAGTATTGTCTGTTGACGTCGACGAACACGTCTCCTGATCATGTCCAGACATGCTCTATAGGGGAAAGGTCAGGACTCCTGGCTGGCCAAGGCATATGGACAATATGGTGACGCTGGAGGTAGTCATTCACAACATTATCATCTTGAAAGATGAAACGTCGACCTGCACGTTGTGTGTTTGTTGGTACCGGTTCCAGAGTCTGCTGATCACAGACTGTGACACATAAAGCATGTTGGCTACTGCACGCTGTATAGAACCCATTTGAAGCATGCCAATAGCACTTAGACGTTCATCATGTTGAAGATGTCTCATTGCAAGTTAAACGTACCACACTAAAGCAAAGATACACTAAACAGTAAATCTTATGCAAGAACCGATAGGAAAGCAAACATGGATTGGATAAACCAGCACGCAGCAGTTTTCATCAACCCTTCCTTGAAGTGTTAAATTTGACAATAAACCCCTCCCACGTGTATGTCGCTATTGCATGTTGCATGTGCAGCTCAGTCGTTCTGTTGGGGCGATAAGTTCTTTATCTGTGAACATACTCTCAAAGTATGTCAAGTGTCCATGACTATTTATCATATCACAACCTGCATAGGTATTTGCATCTGAATATCCCCTACTTTTTTTGAAGAGTATATTTAATTTACATTTTATAAGCTTCTGAACACTGCTGCAGTAGAAATATTTTTTAACTTTTGCTAACCATTGACCACTCAGATGTTATGGCTGCAGTGGTAGAATATGGTTTGTAGTATGACACCTAACTGTATGAATTTATTTGCAGGGTAGTACTGATATCATGGAATTAATGGGCTATACTGTGAAAGTAGAAGATGGGGTTTACTTTCCTGAGGGAAAAGAACCAGATGTGGATATAATATACAACTTGTTAACAGATATTATAATGGCTAGACAAGAAATGGAACTGTATTTAATAGGTGCTCATCCACAGCCTGCTCATATTGATCAGTATTTACCACAAAGTACCATGTAAGTTATGGTAGTCAGTTTAAGATTTCGTGGTCCAAAATGTTCATGTTTATATACTCATCTGTTCTCAGTCCATCCGTTCTCTGTTAACTTTTTTATCTTTTTGTATCATAAACTGTTTGATGGATTTTTGGTCCCCCGCCTTTTGAAGAAAGCAGGGGACTATTAAAATTGGTCTGTATGTCTGTTTGTCCGTCCGTCTGTCCGTCCGTTACACTTTTTGGGATACACTAACTCTCCTTCTAATTAAGCTACAATGTTCACACTTGGTGTATTTTTATACGCCCACATTGAAATGTGGACGTATATTGCCGTCGCCCCCGTCGGTCCGTCTGTCGGTCCGTCCGTCGGTCCGTCTGTCCATCGTCCACAATTTCTTGTGAACGCTCTAACGCCAAAAGTTATCATCCGATCTTTCTGAAATTTACATGAATTATTTAAATTAGTGAAACGAAGAAGCCTATTGAATTTCAGCAATTTACGTTTATTATGTCTAGAGTTATGGCCCTTGATTCACTTTATTGAACCTTGTGAACGCTCTAATGCCAAAAGTTATCATTCGATTTTTGTGAAATTTATATGCATTATTTAGATTACTGAAACGAAGAAGCCTATTGAATTTCAGCAATTTCCGTTTATTACGTCTAGAGTTATGGCCCTTGTTTCACTTTATTGATCCTTGTGAAGGCTCTCACGTTAAAAATTATCATCCGATCTTTCTGAAATTTATATGCATTATTTAGATTGGTGAAACGAAGAATCCTATTGAATTTCAGCAATTCCCGTTTATTACGTCTGGAGTTATGGCCCTTGTTTCACTTTATCAATATCTTGACTAAGTTTGGAGCACAACAAATTGAGTCTTATTTATTGAGAGTGGTCTATTCCTTGACTACATTTGACTACTAGCAATTCTTAGGCTAAATAGCAACTTCAAGACATTGGAACAGAATAACTCTCCATCTAATTGTTGTTTATATGGTGAATGAGTTTGATGAATAGCATTCTTATACGCCCACATGTTTGTGGACTCTCTACAGGTCACAATTCTTATCCGATTTTTACGAAACGTGAAATATAGGTTTATCCCCAAAAGATCTCGGCTACTTTCGATATTGGCATGTATCGGATCGAAACTTCATGGATTATGGCCCCTGATTGTACGAAAAATCATGTTTTTAGCTTGTGGACCCTATAGAGGTCACAATTTTTATCCGATTTTTTTGAAACTTGAAATGTAAGTTTATAACCCAAAGATCTCGGTCCCTTTCGATATTTGCGCATATCGGACTGTAACTTCCTGAATTATGGCCCCTGATTGTACGAAAAATCGTGTTTTTAGCTTGTGGACCCTATAGAGGTCATAACTTTTATCCGATTTAAAAAAACGTATTATTATATCACCGTTACACCCTAAGGATGGCTGAGTTCGAATTTCGTGAAAACCGGCCCAAAATTGATAGACAAAATGGTCGCCGTTTGTTCTCAAATAGCGTAAAAATATGGTATATCAAGATTGTGGACCCTATAGAGGTCACAATTTTTATCCAATTTTGTTGAAAATTGAAATGTAAGTTTATAACCCAAAGATCTCGGTTCCTTTTGATATTCGCGCATATCGGACCGTAACTTCCTGAATTATGGCCCCTGATTGTACGAAAATACCACTTTAAGCTTGTGGACCCTATAGAGGTCATAATTTTTATCCAAGTTAAAAAAACGTATTATTATATCACCGTTACACCCTAAGGACGACTGAGTTCAAATTTCGTGAAAATCAGCCCAAAACTGACAGACAAAATGGTCGCCTTTTGTTCTCAAATAGCGTCAAAATATGGTATATCAAGGTTGTTGTCCCTATGGAGGTCACAATTTTAATCTGATTTTGTTGAAACTTGAAATGTATGTTTATAACCCAAAGTTCTTGGTTCCTTTTGATATTCGCGCATATCGGACCGTAACTTACTGAATTATGGCCCCTGATCACGTTTTTAGCTTGTGGACCCTATAGAGGTCATAATTTTTATCCGATTTAAAAAAACGTATTATTATATCACCGATACACCCTAAGGATGACTGAGTTGGAATTTCGTGAAAATCAGCCCAAAACTGACAGATAAAATGGCCGCCCTTCGTTCTCAAATAGCGTAAAAATAGGGTATATCAAAGTTGTGGACCCTATAGAAGTCACAATTTTTATCCGATTTTGTTGAAACTTGAAATGTAAGTTTATAACACAAAGATCTTGGTCCCTTTCGACATTTGCGCATATCGAATTGTAATTTCCTGAATTATGGCCCTTGATTGTAGGAAAAATCACTTTCTTCTTAACTTGTTCTCTATCCATCTCTCGAAAATGTGGGCGTATCCTGCCTGGCAGCCGCTGGTTCACTAAAGAAAGAGTAATGGGGTTTAATGTCCACTCAACACAAACTAGGTCATTTCGAGACTAACATATGGTTCAATTTTATTTCAATAATTCGCTTCCACGTAGGGGTCTTTAGCAGTGGGAGGAAACCGGAGAAAACACATGAGGTTGGACAGGCGACCCTACTCCTTGACACGTACAACCCTGGGAATCGAAACCACGCCAGTATCTCAATGACAGACCTTAAGATACAGCGCGTGCACGCTAACCATTCGCCCCATAACCCACCCCCAATCCCCGCCCCCCACATTTTCCACTAAAGCTAAGGAGACCGACAGTCGAGCCCTGATTACCATGGAGTTATGTAATATTGACTGTGATTGGGTGATTAAGAAGAACAGCGTATGTGGACAAAGTTGATGTGATGTATTGTATTGTATGTCAGGAATGCCAAGTGAGTTTTGAATGTTTGTGATTTTTTCAAGGAAGTAATCGCTGAAACTGTTCTCAAGAACAGATACGTCATCAGTATCTGGTAGTGTTTCCTAATAAAGAAGACATGAACGAATAATTAAAGAGCCTTAGCATTTCCAGAACTCAAGGATATTCTCTGAGAACAGTACTTTGCTTTTTATACGCCCACATTGGAAATGTGGTCACATTGCCATCGCACCCATACGTAGGTCTGTCCGTAGTCCACAATTTCTTGTGAACACTCTGCAGACAAGATGTATCATCTGATTGTTTTGAAATTGATATATGTTAGTGAGGTGAAGAAGCCCATTTAATTTCAATAATTTTCGTTAATTTCTTCTGGAGTTATGTATGGCCCATGTTTCACTTTGTTGAACCTTGTGAACGCTCCAACGAAAAAAATCATCGTCCGATCTGTATGAAATATATATCGTGGGTCTCCGCTTGAAACCTTGTATAACCGATTTTTGGCCAAAAACACTTTTTGATACCATTGTAAAGCTCATAAAAGCGTGCTTCTGAATATCAAAACCTCGTTTAGCTACGACAGTTTTAAATGTCTGAAAATGTCTGAATAAATATCACGTATAAAATGGCATACAATCAAAACCCCGTATAATAATATACGTGGTTTTGAATTGCAAATATTATCAACTGTAATATATAAATCTCGTATAAACCGATATACAAGGTTTTCATACTGCAGATTCCTGTCACGTGGCATCTATTTACTATAATACGAGGTCATTTTTAGCCAAGTAAGACATCGACGTATCAAGATAAAACGTAAGTTTCGTTTAAACTTTACTAGAATTATGAAAGTTTCATTGTTTTTGTGCCATTCAGTATCACACTGTTTAATTCTGGCATAGCAAAATAAGTAAATTTAATGTGTAATGTTTGTGTTTTACTGAATGTATCACTATGACGAAATGTCACATGGTCTAGATTTTACACGTGGTCCAGATTTTACATTAGACAAAGCCTTTAAGCCTACAAACACGAACAATAACTACGCTGTTTACTTACGCCATACCAAAAGATGTCATAATAATAGAAAAATAGCCCAATTAAACGCCTTTGTTCTTGGTTTTACGGAGAGAATCGCCATGGACATCCTTGGACCTTTGCCGCTCACCAATATAGGTAATCGATATATAATAGTAATCAGCGACTGCTTTACCAAATGGACAGAAGCTTCAGCTCTACCAATCCCTAAAAGCCGAGCTTAGGCATGGGCCTTACGGGCCCAGGCCGCTGTTAATGGCAAAAAGAGAAAAAATTCAAATTGTAGATGAAAGTTTCACGGTAATCGATCTAGCGGTGCGAGGGCGGAGACTGGGCTATCCCTCAACCTTCTCTGTGAAGTTCCACTCGGTGATAGGTCTAGGCTTTCCCGCCGTTATATGCCATTTCTGCGCATTGTATGCCATTCGAAACTGAATAGATTTTGTACGTGATCAGCTATTATGTAATTATTCTTCTATTACAGACCGTTTAGTCGTGTGTTGCGCATGTGTGCCATTCAAAAGCATAAAAAATAATCTTTTAGTCGCATTAGGGGCCCCGCGATTCTTGTCAGGCCCAGGGCTTTGCCATCCCTGAAGCCAAGACTGTAGCTATGACATTAAAATGCCGGATAGGGAACAAACTATCAAAGTAAACTCTTTCATGACGTCTGTTCTCTGAAAGACATACATTAGACTAGAACGACTAGTTTCCGACCCCAATCAAATGGAAGTGTAGAAGGATTCAACCGGACTTTGATCACTATGTATTGTGAAAAAGACCAGAAATTGTGGGATGAATATTTATCACAAGTCATGATTGCCTATCGACCATCTGTTCATTCAAGTACAGGCAAAACCCCGAATATGATGTTTTTTTGGCAGAGAGATAACTTTACCAATGCAGGCAATGATTGGACAACCAGCAAAGGAAGTAACTGAGCAAGATGTAGACAACTATTTGTCATGTCTTCAACACGAAAACAAACAATGTCACGAGATAAGTCGGAAGTTCCTTGTTACAGGAAGAAGTACTATGACTTAAAGGCCAAGAAGAGGAACTGAAAGAACGACAGGTAGTATGGTTACACAATCCTGTGAGAAAAGTCGGTGTGCAGCAAGTTCACTTCTTTATGGAAAGGGCCATATCT